CCTTCAACATTATAAGTCTAATTCTCCTTCACCTTTTGGAAACGTGGTGAATGGTAATTAATTTTTTTTTTCTTTTTCATATTATGCTGAATATAAATTCACTGATTTCATGTAGGTGGTATGGTTAAAAGGTGAATTATGCAACTTGCTGGAGGAAAAAAGATCAGCTGTCCTCAGGTTACTTTCATCAATGTGCTTCCAATTTTTGCATAATGTTTTCTTTCTTGGTCTGTACTGTGATTACTTTGATCTTAATATTACTTCCTGATGGTTATTAACTTGAGTATATAACATCAGTGGCTAATTGCTGCTTAACCTACTTAGAAAGTTGCCTTAAAAAAATTTCTGCAAAATTTACAAAATTGCCACTTTATCTGTTGGTATCCTTCCTATTCAGCTGAAGCACTAAGAAGCTCCAGCTGTCATCTCTCTATGTTTTAGGATGTGCGAAGAGACTACTGGTATTGATCTTCTTGCATTTTTCTATTTGATCTTATTAGAGCTGAGGAGCTGGAAACAGCATTGATGGAGATGGTCAAGCAGGATAATCGGCGACAGTTGAGTGCTAGGGTATGCCATCATACTCTTGCGTGGTCTTGGGGTTTGTGGAATTTGCATAAAACTTGTGTTTCGTTACCATGCTAAATTAAAGATGATGAACATATTATCAGCTTTCTGTTAGTTTATATTATTCAATATAATATATTGTACACTTTTGAAAAAATAATATATTTTACACCTAGCTGTCATGCATATGGGCTTTAGGTTGAGCAGCTAGAGCAGGAGGTTTCCGAGCTTCGAAGAGGCCTATCTGATAAGCAGGAGCAAGAAAATGCAATGCTTCAGGTTTCAATTTCACTTCAGTTTCAGTTTGTTCATATTTGCTTTTCTCTTGCAATGGGCTTGCAATAATTGCTATCACCTGTTACATAGATCTTGATGCGAGTGGAGCAAGAGCAAAAGGTAACAGAAGATGCTCGGATATTTGCCGAGCAGGATGCGGCAGCACAGAGATACGCTGCTCAAGTACTTCAGGTACTTCAGGTTCCTAACCACTTGTTTTCATGTGAACATTTGGTACTTATTTGCTAAGATTTGTAACTAACAGTTCATATGTGCTTAAATTGTAAACTGGCTTCTTTTTTCTCAAGTGCAAATTACTAACTGAATTATTACCTAGAAAAAAATATTGACTGAACTAAAAAAAAAAAAGCAGTTATCATTCCAAATTGATCATCTTTATCCATTGAACTTCTATTTTAATGGTGAAATGATTATGAACTGTTCCAAAGAGTGAGCAGTCAACCTCTATTTTCCCAATCATGTTCTCTTCTGAAAAACCTTAATTTATGACCCATAGTTGTCGTCATTTTTTCCTGACTTTCCTATATGTTAGAACCATAAAGGCACGTTTTAGTTGGTTTGTGTTAAAAGTAAGAATTTAGTATATTTAGGATAGTTGGCTAAGGTATGAATAGATAGTGTTTTCTAATATAATATAGTCTATTCTTTCCTAGATCTTAATATTAGAGTTTGATTATAATTTACATATTTAATGCATAACTCAAATGTCTTCAATTCCATGATGATGGATTTATATTTTCTAATATCTTCATTTCCACAATGGTACATTTATATTTTCACTTGTCAAAAAAAGAATTAAAAAAATTAAATTAAATTGGACATGGAATAGATTTAGAATTATAATGTTATCTCCATTCAAATATTTATCTCATTGTATTTATTCCTATTACTATTAATATTATATAATTATTGAAGTTTGAACAAGTTCAACCTTAATACGTTTTAAAATGTTTATGATTAATATAAAAATATATAAAATCTATTAATATATCATAGATAAAATAGATTTAAATATTAAAAATTTTAAACTAATATTATTTTAAAATACAAAAATATAAATTTATTTCTAAAATCATATTTTGAAAAATTATTTTAATATCATTCATAGATTTTAAAAATTAATAATTAATTTAAAATATACCGAATATAAAATTAAAATATGCTAAAAATAAAATTAAAAGTTTTAAACTGTAATATCATTTTAAAATATATTAATAAAAAATATTTTGAAATAATTTTTTATTTAATAATATTTTAGAAAATATTTATCCACAGAATTTAAGGATATTTTTGCTTAAAAGTACATGCTCCCTAGGATAGGTAGTACTTACACTATTCTACCTAGCAAAAAAACGAACATGCATTAACTGCTTTTCGTAGAATTGCATGCTTGTGCAGCCATCATAAACTATCTAGATCAATTTTATGCATAGTTCTTTTCTTTATCTTATACTGTGTGATAAGACAATAATATGCGTATCATCTCAGGAGAAGTATGAGGAGTCCATTGCTTCACTTACTGAAATGGAGAAAAGAGCAGTGATGGCAGAATCAATGTTGGAGGCGACCTTGCAGTACCAGTCTGGCCAACTTAAAGCACAACCATCTCCTCGGTATTTGGTTTAACTTGCTATAAACCGTATAAAATGAAGAAATAAATGAAATTTGTTGGTCTTGCAAATATTAAATGGTGCCTATCTTGGTTGATGAGACCTATAAATCTTGTTTCAATCTATTCTTTTGCATTTCCTTTTGTTCTGGTGGGTAAAATTCCATTTATTTTTAGCTTTAGTTATTTATATATGCTGAATTTTTTTTTATAATCAGTTTACATTTACAGATCAACTAATCCTGATTCACAAGCACGAAGCGGTCAAGAGCAGACCCAAGAACTGCCTCCAAGAAAGATTAGCTTGTTAGCAAGGCCATTTGG